AGGAAAAGGCTGCTTGAAAGTTTCGTGTAAGGCTATGTGAGAGTAGCAGTTCTCCCCTCCGTCCCCTTCCCCCTCCCACCTCCCCTCTCCTCCGCCAGAGAGAGGGAGCCATGTTGGAGCTCAATAGGTCCTGGCCTAGGAATGCCATTTCCTCTGTTTAAAATAAAAGTAACTTAAAGAATCCCAATGATACAAATGAAGCATAGTCAGGTGGAGAGCAGTTTCTGCTGCTAAAATTTTAAGGTGGGACTTTCAAGAGAGCCTCAGGGAATTAGGCACGTAACTCTCATTGACTTTCAGTGGGCATCAGGGGCCTAACTCCTTTAGGTTTCTTTTTTAAAAGCAAGCTCTTGCATAAAAAGCTGATGTCAAAAAGTGAATGTTTGTTACACTTTGTTCATAACTTTGTTCTCAGAGGCATCCCGTCAGGCCTGAGTGGAAAATGCTACTGTGCTGTTTGCTGAATACAGACCATGCTAAGCTCTTTACTAGCAATCCAAGTGAATGTTACCTTCCTTCCTTCCTTCCTTTTCAGCTGGTCATTTGGAGTTCTGCTATGGGAGATTGTAACCCTGGGAGGAAACCCATATCCTGGAATTGCTCCTGAAAGACTCTTTAACCTCCTTAAATCCAGCTATCGAATGGAGAGACCTGAAAACTGTAGTGAAGAAATGTAAGTACTTCTTCCTGGCTATGTCTACACTGTGAATTTCTGCAGCAGAAAATATGCTAATGAGGACTCATTAGCATAAGTTGTGCAACATCCTTATGCGTTTCTCGGAGAAACATTGACTCCGGAGAGGCATAAAAATCTTGTGCAAAACGGAAGTGGCAGAAAATATATAAATACACTGCTTCTTTTTGCGCAAAAAGAAACGGCAGAAAATATGCTAATGAGATCACGACTTATGCTAATGAGCCCCATAATTTGCATATTTTCTGCAAAAACTTGCAGGGTAGACAAAGCCCCTTTGTCCAGCTTCATAGAAACATCGTGGAATGAAGGGGGAAAACAGTATAAATAGCACCCATCTCCAGCATGACTTTTAGAAACGTCCGATAACAAGCTAGTAAAAGCAAAGAATTCTGACATCATAAAATTGCAGAAAGGTGGGGCGACAATCTGTGTTAAATGCTGAAAAGAAATACAATCTGAAAAGAAATACAGCCCAAGTGCCTGCAGCTCTTGCCAAAATACTCGCTGAAGATTGGATAAAAGCACTCATCAGGCTACTGAAAATGTGTAGGTTGAATATTCAGAACATGGGGTGTAGGGAGAAATGCATTTAACATTGTGATGACTGACCTCTTTAAGATGAGCTGGAGCATATCCAAAGACTGGGAACTCATTTTCCTGCAAAGAAGGTGGCTATTTTAATGTCTGTGCTCCATGTACTCCCTGCAAATGGTTTGTTAGTTGTCTGACTTTCCTGGTAGTGTACAGAATCCTGAAAAAGAAGATACAAGTATTGATTTCTGGCTCAAGGTATGATGCAAAGATTTTGTGACTTGGTGAGTCATTTCTGTTTATTGGTGAAAAGGCAATTAACCAGGAAAATCTCAGAGAGAAATAGTTCATCTCCTGGATATCTGTGGTGTATGAAAATGAAACACATAGAGCTTGAAATGTGTTTATCAGGCTCTATTAAACAAGATCGCTTCAAGTGTCCTTGAATGATCTTGCCCACATGTATGGTGAGAAAAAGCAGCATAAATAGTACAACCATTTTTGTTCAGTGCATCACATGCACAGAGATACCACTGAGACATTGTTGAACTTAGATCTAGTCAGAAGTTCAAAGATCTTAAGTCCAGATTTTCTCCGACAAATTATACGTTTAAAATTATTTTCACCTTTCTTTCCTTCCTGAACGAAGCAAGACCCCTTCACTTCAAATGTTCCATTGCTTATTCTTTTTTGGAGTTACTCTTATTGTTTAAATTTGGGGGGAAGGGTTGATGGGGTTTTTTGTCTCTCTTTGTTGGACAACCTGGGTAGATGTTTATCTTTGGATATTATAGATTGTATAAAATAAACCACTTATGGCCCATTTTTCAATGCATGCACCAAATTATCCAGTCTAGCAATGAGGAGCATAGATTTGCTTCATTTTTATAGGTATGCAAACATTTCTGAACCAATTCACTCCATCTTTAATATAATAAAGCCAAAAAATTGAGATTAGAATAATATAATTTAGGTTGTAAAGTCAAGTGCTGAAAAGTTAGGAAATCCCAGATTTATGGCTACTTCTGCAAACTTAATGCTTTGAGACCATCTTTAATGGCATGATCACATAGTGTCACCATGCATATGCACAAGGGGAAGGGTGTGAATTCAGACTGTGTAGCCTATCATAAATCTGGCATGTTTGAAACTGTCAGGTGCTTGAATTTGCAACCTAAATTGCATTCTTGTAACTTAGGGTTCTCGAGTGTTATTTGTTTGTGTTTGTGTTTAAGAAAAGTGGTAAAACCACTGTCTTTTATGTACAGCTGAGTACCAGCAGGGTGTGAATCCTGAACTTTCAGCACTGCAGTAGAAGTGTTTTTCCATTTAAGCTATATAGGTCTAACTACATTATTTGGGTGGGTTTCTGAATCCAGAATGAGTGGTCGGGAAGGGGGGAAGGGGGAATCCAGCCTGGCCAAGTTCTCTCCCTCTCTCTCTTCCCTTCCCTCCTAGATGTTGGGGGGCGGGGAGGGTCGCCTGCCCTATGTAGTGCCCCCCGAGGAAGGAAGCCCAGTCTAGATCTGACTCCTCCCCTCCACTGTGGCTACTCCCAGCTATCCCCAGAATAACATGGTGACAGTGCTGATTTGATGGTGGTGAAGCCGAGCCTTAGAATAGCCATGTGGCTCAGTTATTATTTTAGCAGGCTGCCAGCATTTTCCTGAGCAAGGAGAGTAAGAGAAGGGAAATTATTTTGAGCAGCTTACAGTATATCTTAGCCAAAGCTGAGTGGAATTTCATACAATAAAGAAAAAGCACTTCTGTAGCCAGAGGGCTTTTCCTTTGCCAAATACCAAAAGGCGTGAGGTAAGCAATGGGGATGTGAACGTTTCTCAAAGGAAAGGTTGCAAGCATCTTGTAGAGCGGAAGCATTAGGCAGCCTAAACATAGGTGTCACTGCTCCCATTCTCCCTGTAATTTTGTTGTTCTAGGGGACCAGCTGAGAAAATAACAGTCATACTAGAAGTGTCAAGGTGTCCGCTGGAAAGTGTGATTCCCAGCCTAATTAGACACTCACCATAGCTCAGCTGAAGCTAGAGTGCTATAAGTAGCAGAGTGGATGTTGTGGTAATTGGGTCAGGCAGGACTGGATTCAAAGGGCTAGCCTACACTATGGCTCCATGCAACATGAAGCATATCATGGAGCCGGGGTCAGTGTGGGACTCTGATTCAGAGTCCTCCGCTGACCCTGGGCTCCATGGCTTTGAAATGCACACGAGCCCCCACTGGGAACTCTGGCACATTTCATAGCAGGCTCCCGCCCTTCCCCCCATGCAGCCCAGAATCAGCGGGACTTCCCGCTGGCCCCAGGCTGTACACAAAGTTCCACATTCCTCCATAGAAATGTACAAGAGCCCCATCGGGAGCTCTTGTACATTTCAAAGAAGGAATGCAGAAGTGCCTGTTGAGTAGTCGATGGAAATTCCATCGACTAGTCAACTAGTCAATTAACTGCATTTTAACATCCCTGGCTCACACCAATACCGGCACCACAACATTCACACTGCCTTTTCTAGCACATGAGCTCAAGCTGATTGAGGGTGTCCCCTCATGCTGGAAACCCCACCTTCCAGCTGCAATGTAGACGTACTCTTTGGCCCCAGTCTCACAAAGAGATCCACATGCATGGGCCCTTAATTCCATGTGGCATCTCGCAGAAGTAAAGGTGCACTCCTGTAAGTCTCAGTGCAGTATTAGGGCTTAGTCCCATGGAGAAATTATTCAGCTGTGTACATTAAAAAAAAGAAAAGAGTGAGATATTTCTTCGAGTGGCATTCACAAGAGGGGCCAGATCACAGCATTGTAGATTTATTTGAGCAGAAAGGAAAACCAAACCAGTTGTGACCGCGGGATCTTATTGTTTGTTACTTTGGTTCACAGGTATAACTTGATGCTGCGATGTTGGAAACAGGAACCAGATAAGAGACCAACATTTGCTGATATCAGCAAAGAACTGGAGAAAATGATGGTGAAAAGTAGGGTAAGTCTGCTGCATGCAGTTTTGCAGTTAATGAAAACTAGCTGAGATGTTGACAATCCAAAGAGTTTGTGAGTAACATAGAGAAATAAATTTCTGATCAGAAATGTTGTGATTTTGATCAGGATTAAAGGCACCCATCAACTGTATTTCCTCCAGATGGCAGATAACTGTCCAAAAGCAGTTCTATCTTTTTTTAGTATGTTGATTGTTAAAGATTTCAGACCCAGAAAAGTTGTGTGGTGGATTATTTTACCATGTTGTCTCCTTAGTAACAAATACTTTATTGCAGAGTTAATTTTAATTTGCATTACTGAATAATCAAGCAATGGGAAGCCTCAAACTAAATGTATACAGTATTGCAAAGCAAGGATTGTCATTTCTGACTTGGAATGTCTTAAAAATAGAACAATAGAAACAAAATGTGAAAGGCAAAATGGAAATGCAAAAGCTGACATGTCTTAAAAATAGAACAATAGAAACAAAATGTGAAAGGCATTTTGTTCCAAATGGAAATGCAAAAGCTGACAAGAGGTTTTCTTGGGAATTCAGAGGACTTCATTGTCAGCTTAAAGTGTCTCATCTAGGGCTTGGGCTTGCACCTTGCTGAGCCGTGTGGTCTGATCCAGGAAAACACTACGTATGTGCTTAATTTAAAGCCATGAGTATCTTCATCAGAACCTTGCAGGATCAAGTCCCCATTACACATTGCAAATATATGTTCACCTAAATAGTCATTTTTCACTATTAAGACTTGTGTACTTGTTTAATATTTCTTTGGCATGAAAATTCTGTCAGTGCAAATGAAAATTTTGCAAGGAAAAGTATCAGTGATCTGTGTGTGCTAGAAAAGGGCTCATGCAGTGGAATGAGTACACAAACATGTACCTGTGCACACAGAAGGGGAGCCTGGTGACTAAAAACAAGCGTGCATGTGCACTTATATATTTATAAAATCTCTAATTTATAAAAACATTAGAAGCCTCAAACATAGCTACTTTCTAGGTCAGACCCACAGTTATTGTTGCTCTGTTACAAATCCAGAAGAGGGAAAACGAACTAACCCATTCTGGGCTTGGGATGTGTTGCTGGCAGGAGGCCAATTCAGACGTGAACAGAAGGAAGCCATTATGCTCTGTAGGAAAATTTAAAAATTAAAGTTAAATCAATAATGAGGAAAGGCAAATTAAGAGTCAGAGTTTGGGGGTTTGGTGGGGAAGGCAAATTAAGAGTCAGAGTTTGGGGGCTTGGTGGGGGTTTGTTCGTTTGTTTGTTTGTTTAAGTTCCAAAAGTTTGTTTGTTTGTTTGTTTGTTTGTTTTTTAAGTTCCAAAGCCTTTTAAAAGAACAATATATTGAACTAAAAGCAGATTTCCAACCCAAGCATTTGTATCTGCTTTGTATGCTGTATATGGACAAAGTATATGGGATAACCTAGTGAGCTGGACAGTAACGTTGAACTAGGCAAAGTTGTCTGAAACGGTTGTCATAGTGAAAACCAAAATAACCAGCATCCTCAACAGAACTATGGGCCGAAGGCTGCAAACTGGCGAGACTCCCTTGTATACATTGTTGAATACCCTGTCTTTACACTGAATCGTAGGCTTAGAGGATAGCTTGAGATAAAGCCTATCTACCAGTGAGATTTCTGAGAGCTGCTAACTTGCTGGCAAGCGGCATTTGACAGGAGAAACACAACTGAGCATGTTTATGTTTCATGCCTGGCATTTCTGCAAACAAGTGCCTTGCCAAGGACACGACTCTTGCAGAAAACAGGACATTAAACAGGTGGTATTCTCTATACCAGTGTTTCTCCACCAGTGGTATGAGTACCCTTAGGGGTCCTTGAGAGAAGTCTGGGGGATACATCAACACAACGGAAACTTGGAGAAAAACTGAATTTTGTTTCAAGTTTTACTGCGTTTTATTATTTTTGTACTTTTTACACCCAAACATTTCATCGCCTGCCTGGCTACAATTAAGTTGTTTAAACAAATGAGTTGCAATAGTAGAAAAAAATTTTGTGTGTCTGAAAACTGTAGGTAAAGGGGTTACTTACAATTTTTTTTAAAGGTGGTACTTTTAACATTTTTTTAAAGGGGTACTTTATAAAAAAAGGTTGAGCTACACTGCTCTATACAAGGGCCCACTTTGAGTTTGCAGTTGCCCAGCTGAGGGAATTCAGGAGTCTGTTAGCATCAAAAACTGGTAAACGACCTTGTTACCTATTGTGACCCAGGTTTTTATTTATTGATTCCATAGGACTACTTAGATCTTGCAGCTTCTACGCCTTCTGACTCCTTACTTTATGATGACGGGCTCTCAGAAGAGGAGACACCCCTCGTGGACTGTAATAATGCTCCCCTCCCTCGAACCCTTCCTTCCACATGGATTGAAAACAAACTCTATGGTAGAATTTCACATGCATTTACTAGATTCTAGCAACACTCAAAAAAGTGATTTTTTTTCTTCTGCACTATCTTCAGACTCTGTAACCCCATTAGAGTGTTTCTTGTGTGAATGAAACCAAACACAATTTGCTTGGAAAGCTTTTTTTTTTATTTGTAAATGTCAAACTTTGCATCAGGATCATACTTTAGGCGCCTTGCAGCTGTGTTTAAAAAAGATTTAAAAAGGATGTGAAAATAAGTAATATCACCAAATACATTTATATATATATTATATATCTCTGTAACCCCATTAGAGTGTTTCTTGTGTGAATGAAACCAAACACAATTTGCTTGGAAAGCTTTTTTTTTTATTTGTAAATGTCAAACTTTGCATCAGGATCATACTTTAGGCGCCTTGCAGCTGTGTTTAAAAAAGATTTAAAAAGGATGTGAAAATAAGTAATATCACCAAATACATTTATATATATATTATATATATATATATCATATGATAATGAAAAATAAATAGATCAGGGAAGTACTCTCAGGGGAAATTTTAATAGGCTAAGAACTGAATATCCAAACTAGTCTTTTGTGTTGGGGGGTGGAGTTGGGAAATACGTTAGAGTCTACATCTCTGATTTCAGTAACAGGGATTTCACAAAAACATTTGCAAAACATTTTTTAGCTCAGTTGAATAGTGTAATCCAATTTGTTGAAATTTTATGTTTATTCATATGAATTCTTGAATGTCAGCTGCTGCTCACATGTTTTAAGTCCTTAGGCAGAAATTTCTGCCTAACACGACATGGGATGTGATCAGTTTACATTTTACAGAAAGCCGGGGAGACTGAGTGTAGTCCTTAGGCAGAAATTTCTGCCTAACGCGACATGGGATGTGATCAGGTTACATTTTACAGAAAGCCGGGGAGACGGAGTGCATCTGTATAGTCTTTTGGAAATTGAATTGGTGGTGGCCACTATAAAAAATACTTTCAACTGTTTTCACATCCTTCGGTTTATCATGCAAATGTCAGCACTAAGCCCTGATTGAATGATGTAGTAAGTGGTTTGAAAAGGAACATGTGCTTTCATGTTGTGATGGTCAGATGGACAGTAAAAATGGTTCTTGCCAAAACTCCTATATTTTGTGTCCTGATTAAATATTTTACATTTTTTTGGCTATTTACTAACTTCAAAGATTTTTTTTTTTCATTCTTCAAGCAGTAAAACTTTTTTAAAAGCTGAAGCTTTTTCTTTACTCTATATAGTTGTAATTAGTAAATATCTTTTGCTTTTTTTCCCTCCTCTGCTCCCCAGGCATGATTTCCAAAACTGGATGCCCAAGGTTAGGGTCTTAAATTCATAACTGAGATTTTAAATAAGTGGTCGGATTTTCAAAAGGGCTTAAACACCCAATAGTTACCAACGAAGTCCGAGGAAACTGCTGAACACTTTTGAAAAATCACAGCACTTATTTAGGTGCTGAAATAGGCAACAAAATTAGGCTTCTATTTTTAAAAATGTTGGCCTTGGTATGTTTTTGCATATTGTGCTGGATCTGCAATATGCTAAGCACTCAGTGCTCAGTCCAGAAAAATACTTCAGCATGATCTTAAATATACATTCATGGGTAGCCCACTGATGTCAGTGTGACTACTTACATGCTTGACTTTAAACCTGTACTTAAGTGTATGGCTAGATCAGAAGCAGAGAGCTCAGAACCTTGAAGGATCCAACCCGTACTGCTATGGGGAGATCATGATGGGTGATACGAGTATCTTCCTAGCCCTATTTTAGCCAGTGGAAAGACACCCTTTACTGTCAATGGAAATACTTTATTTGACTAGAACAGACTTTGGATCCTGCCTTAAATAGGCTTATTACTGCTTGGAGCATTGTATGTACAGCAAGAACTTCCAGTTGCAATACATTCTCTGGCAAAGTAATTTGCTATTATGTTGTCATGAAACTAAAAAATTGTGAAAAGCTGGAGACTATCAGAAGACAAATTAACTTTTATTGGGTTATATGATATACACACTTTTTTTTAATCAAGACAGCACTTTATTTTTAGGGTGTTTGCCTTCAGCAGAATTTGTGCTTTGGGGCTATGAAACACAGTTTATATCAATTGATTAGGAACAAAAACCAGTGGTCTGACTTAAAGTATTGAACGGAGTTTTGCCAAGGGTCTTACTGTCTGCACATGAAGTTATGGTTCTTCAGTGCAGAAAAAATTATCTGTTTTCATTTTTAGGCATGTCATACCCGAACTGGCCTGAGGAGAGCCCCGTTCCACTCACAAGATTCGATGGCACTAACTCTGTGTTTTCAAGATATGCAAATGATAGTGTATATGCTAACTGGATGGTTTCACCCTCAGCGGCAAAATTTATGGACAAGTTTGATAGTTAAAAATTTGTTTGTGACAGGTAATGGACCCATGAGTGGAGCAAACATACAAAGAATGGAAAGTCCCTTGGCTCGTTCTTTGCACAATTAAACCTGGTTAAACCAACATTAATTTCTCAAATGGCAAACTCTCTTTTGGTAGTTTCTTAAGTGGTTTTACACACGATCAAGACTCTAATTGATAATTTCCCCTTTCAGGAAACATATCAAACTGGATAAAAGTTGTAGTTCCGGTACTTACTTTTTAGTCCACCATTCCGCACACTGTCCAGTTTAGTAACTGTTTATTGCAAATGGCCATGCACTTCATACTTACAATTTTTTAGGTCAGCTGTCCTGAAACACAGCTTTCTTGGGTTGGAAAATACGTTGGACTTGAACTGCTACTTTTCCAGTTATTAATAAAAGGCCACTTGATCTAAGCATGAAGCACAAACAGTATATGTAAGGGGAAAACATTTGGCTCAAAATAACGGAGCTTGCTATAGAATCCAAAGTGTTACCAAAATGTTGGCAATAATGAAGCCTGTATTTTGGTTT